CATCCTTCCCTTTATCTTAAAGGCAACTACATATGATCGTTCTGTTTTGACCCCCCCCCGCAAAAAAAAAACCCAACTTTTATTGATAATTTGGTTGGAGCTTCTTTGGTTTTTGAGAGTAGATTAAACACGAGTTCTGCCCTGTTTTCTATCTTTGATACAATCTCTCTACTGCGCTGAATACAATCCTTGGCACCCTGCGACAATTGACCAGAAGAACAATAACTGTAATATTATTACTTTTTCCCCGTAGTTGCTTCTCTTATATATATATACATCGAAAGGCAGCTATCTCAGATCTATTTGTAAGCCTAATTAACACTTCCTAGTAGGAGCCAAAAGACGTGAAACAAATTTAAAGCAAAATGTTCTGCTGCTGTAACCACATCCGATAGAAATCAAAGGAAGGTGATCATAGATTGTCATGTCAACTTTGTCCTATTCATTACTAAGAAAAATATAATTCAAAAGAGTTTCGAACCATTCCCCACCCAATACTTTCCCGCCCATAGAGAAAAAGGCCACGAGATACTTGACGCTTGAAGAATATCAATATTTTCAAACTGAAGAAGAGAACATCAAATAGACTTTTAGGAGCATGATTAAAGGTTCCAATTCCAATGTTTTCGTGAATTAAAACAAATAAGTCATGCAATTCTCGTCATGCAGTTGGAAATGGTCAAACTTCGAACTACAGTTTTTTTTTTTTTAAACACAACATTTTCATGAACATTATGCAGGAGACTAAATATAAGAAAAACATTTACTTGAATAATCCCAGATAGATCTAATAAACAAATTGCGGTGGCTTCGGTAAAATATCCTTTTTTTTAAATCTACTGATTATAACTGGAACAAATTAAGTTTTATACAGTAAAACACAAAAAGGCATAAAGGCATGCCTTTGAAATTGAAATTCCAATATATTGCATAATACAGTATACAACACAGCTTGTCCACCTTTTAACATCCAGTGCCCATTTTGCCCCCTTTAATCAAGACGTAAAAGCTTTTGCACAATCCATCTACATATTGTATTTCCAAGTGGAACATTAAATTACCCCTATCACCACCTGGGTGATCTGCACCTCCCATCAAAATTGCCAGCCGCCCGCTAGTGAGCGATACCACTCATGTTAGCAAGCAATTATACAGGATAATTTCTACCGTTGCCAGTTTCCATGTTTATACCAACTCCATTTTCTGAAAGTGAAATTTGTTTCCTAATATTATTTTCTAAAGAGTTTAATCGAAACACCAGTGCTCTAATGAAACAACCAAAAGAGGTTGGAATTTGTATTTCAAGGAATATGCCTTCCATTTTCTTGTCGCAAAGCACTCATTTTGCTTTTATGCCCTTCTGATGTCGGAAATGAATGATATACATACAATAACAGTAATATAGTTGTTTTTTTAAATCTTACCTTGTTATTTAGACTGTCGTCCTCTGACGTCACAGCGGCTGCAGTTGTCTCCCCGTCCTCTGCCCACTCCCCTTGGACGTTCAGGTGCTCTTCTTCCATCACGTGACCTCCGAGATCCCCACAAGAATCAGACATAATGGAAATATCCTCCTCCTCCTCGCCCTCTTCTCCCCCCTCCTGGCGTGGACGTTTGTTGAGATCCTGCGACATCATTGGAAATATATTGGCCTTGTTTGAGGTAACTTCTTCTTCCTCCTCCATGCTGGGATGGTCTGATGTTGTGTTGTTGATGTGGTTTCTGCTGTTGATGCTGTTGTTGTTGTTGTTGTTGTTGTTGTTGTTGTTGTTGTTGTTGCTGTTGCTGCTACTACTGTTGTTGTTGTATTGGTGTTGTCGGGAGTGAATACGGAGATCCATGGAACCTTGATGATCGTCTTCAGCGAAAGAAGTACGATGTTGTGGAAAGACGGCGGTGTTCATGTTATTGTGCGGTGGTTGCTCATATCCCGAGTTCAAACCCCCCAAAGAGCCCAAACGGTGATAATGCTGAAATGTCAACCTCTGATGCACGAGGGGGGTGTCACCGGATATGACGTCCGCCATGTTGGATTTGTTGAGTTGTCTCCCAGCGGCTACGTCCGCGGCTTCCTCTTCCTGGAGAGTTAGGTGAGGGCGGGTCTCATCGGCGAAGGACGACGGACTAGGAGAGCCATCAGACTCGAACCTCGTGTCCTCCGGTTCTGATGGCGAGCCTCCTCCTCCTCTCACACGTACTCCCTCATGTTCGTCGTCATCGTCCACGTTGACATCCCCGTGATCTCTGAACTTTGAGGCCCCGAAGTCATCTCCTAGCACACGGCTGATGCTGAACGGATTGAGGTCACGCTTCTGAAAATTGTCGTTTCTCCACATGATGTCTCGTTTTGGAATTGCGTATTCCCCAAATGATAGCACAGCTTGGTTATTATCCAGTTGTGTAGAGTTAAACTATATAATTAAATACATGTTTCGTTTGTGTCAATTGCAATTTTTCCTTGTTTTCGTTCTTGTTTACATAATAAACGAGAAAAAAATGTTTTTAATATATATTCGTTTTAGATCAGAATTGTTTGTTTGTTGCTTGGGTAAGTGTTTTACGGCGCTAGCAACTGCATACGGTCGTATTATTATGAGCGCGCTCAGAATTGTGGACAAGAATATCCCACACTTGAAACACAATATAAATATCCGATCCTCCCACTCCTCCTCCTCCTCAAAGGTAGACCTACAATTAGTTATTGTGCAACTATTACCTTTGAGCTGTCGATAAAGCTTTGCACGCAAATCCCTGCAGTCCGAAGCGTGAATGTCAGCAGCAGCGTCAAACGAGAGAGGGGACAAGAATCACGAATGAGAGCGCCTGGTCCCCGGTAATCTTTAAACCCTTAACGGAATAACGGACGCTGTTCCCCGGTTCTAAGCGGCGTACAAGCGGTGATATCGTCGTATCGCTAGATTTCCATTGTCAGCTCGGCTTCTGAAGACTGAGACAGAGTGGTGGTGGTGGGGGCGAAAAAAAAAAAGGAAGGGAGGGCGGAGAAAGGAGAGAAAAAAAATCGAGAGGTAAGAGAGAGAGAGAGAGAGACAGAGAGAAAAGCGAACGTAGTAATAAAACTATAGCTCTCACAAAGTCGGGCGAGGCGGTAGCGAGAAACGAGCAGGGTTCTGTTGTTGAAAGGCTGGCGGAACTGTAGTGGGCAAACGACGTGCCTTCAGGGCTAGTCCCCGCCCACAAGGCTGGTCGGGGGCACCGCCCCTTTTTGACTTTGTCACGCCTTCACGGGTCGATGAAACTCTCCCAAGTATCTCGCTTCTGCCTCCTCTTTTTGTGCCCACCCGATTCTCCTTTCTTCCCCCTTCCCCTTTCTACTCCATTCACCTTTTTACCTCATTCTCTCATTCTCTGTTTCAACCTGTATCTGTCTCGGTTTCTCCATGCACTCCCCCCTCTCTCTCTCTCTCTCTCTCTCTCTCTCTCTA